ATGATGTTGTAATCTGCATAATCACTACATTCAACATATTACACTATTTCCAGAAGTGGGGATTTCTTAATACGAACAGATGTAGGAGGATATGTCAATGCCAAGAGTTCTAGCATAGGAGCATTGATTTCTAAGTAGTCAAATTTGTTTGGGACATGCAACACCAGTTCCTTCAGTAATAGACAGCTAGATATCAAACTTTCTATTACTTCATGATTAATGGTGACTTCACACAATTCTAGCATAATCATCCTATTAAATCCTTTGAAGCTTGGTCGAGGATTGAAGAGACAAGTTGAAAGATTCAAATGTTTCAATTGCAGAGACATAAACAGTGAAGAAGGCAATCTGTACTCTTCTCCATACTTGATTCTAAAGGTGAATTCTTCAACACTGTTCTTCCATAAGATATACATCAGGTGGTCAATTTCTGAACAACTTCCAAGTTCTGGAATAACGACGCTCAACTTAGTTATGGGTCTTTGGTGAAGTAAAAGAACCTCATAATGTGTCATCACGAACTTCATTCTTGCTGATTCTAGGTTTCCCTCTGATTCTTGCCGTATTGTATCGTCTACTATCAGTTGCGGAAGTTTGACCCATTTGTACCTCCATTGTTTCAATTAACATTGTTTGGAAGGTCACTTATCATATTAACAGGTTGCAACATGGAAATTCTCATTCTGTGACATAATAAAAAAAATACAATTCTGTAATGACACCTTACAAGAAATAAAAATATCAAAATTACCTTAATTTGCATGCATAGAGTGGATATAAACAAATTCCATATGAAGTTCACACAACTATTCTTGCATTATTTTAATTATTTACACAATTATTTCAATAGTTGAAATTTTTACATTTATTTTATATCCGAAAATTTACAAAATGGTGCTTAAAGTTTCTTGAGTGTGAGAAAAGCTCCTTTGTCTATTATAAATTAAAAATACAAAAAATTAGGACATGTCATGTGACGGTTCAAACACATACTCCTCAAGTGTCGAAATTATAAAGTAATATAAAAGAAATATGATACGCCACATGACACATCGGATACCTGCATTTCACTCTAGGACAGGGGACTACGTTACTGGATCAGTCATATGCTGCACTAGTAAATAAACATAGAAATCAACGTTGGAATTGTGTACGTCAAGCATATTGATTAAAGCATACTGTGAGATGGGGTCGCTTGAAATGGCAA